ATATATTTTTCTTAGCCTGAAAGATATATAGATATAGGTATAATTTTTCAGGCTAAAAACTCTTGGATTTTAATATGATCTTTAAAGAACAATAATACCCATGACTAGGTTTCCCAGGTTAAACCACTTGAGCATGTTAAGGATGAAAACAGGAATCTAACCAGAACATTTATTACAGCATAAAGCAGTTTTCTGAAAGTGTTACTCAGTTCTATGACCTCATTACCAGGCATCTGTTCACAAGGTCAGTGTACAAGTTTATTTTGTCTGAGCAAAGCATATATTTGTAAAGGACCTTCAAGGATTTTGCTGAGGATGTTCAACATTCCATAGCTTTTCACATGAGAAATGCAGATGGCTTTTGTACAGATGAGCAATACTGGGCTGGGGATATAGCTCAGCGGCTCAAGCGCCAGACTAGCAAGCGCAAGGTCACGAGTTTGATTCCCAGTACCAAAAAAAAAAAAAAAAGAAAAGAAAGAAAAAAAAACAGATGAGCAGTACTACTGCCTCATAAAGGACAGGTGAAAAAAAGTACTGTTCGTCTCTCTTTGAATTTTCTCTGGCAGCTTTTTTTTGGTGAACTCTTTAGCAGACATAAAAACCCATCAAAAAATCAGTTTTCCTGGTAAACTTACTGATATTTAATTGACTTTAAATGATCCTAATTAGGTCCAGTACTTCGCATCTTGCTGTTTTTTTGGCTTTCTGTTTGTAAAAGGATTTAAGAATATTTAGCTACTTGGTATCTTCCCCTTAAAAAGATAATATTTGCCAGGCATGATGACACATGCCTGTAATCTCAGCTGCTGGGCAGGCTGAAGCAGGAGGATTGCAAATTGGAGGCCATTGTGGGCAATGCAGTGAAACCCTGTCTCAATAAATACATACATACATACATACATACATACATACATAGGCTGGGGATAAGCTCAGTGGTACAGCACTTGCTTAGCGTGTGTGAGGCCATGGGTACAACCACCAGTACCTTAAAAAAAAAAGAGTATTTGTGCAGTTAGAAAGAAAAGTGAAGCTATTCCCCCGCCCCATTAGATTCTGAAGCAATAAAATTACTTGTTTAGTTCTGATTCTGCCACTAATTAACTATAAGATTTTGGGCAGATCATTTACGTTGATCTTGCTAAATATTCACTTTCTCATCTATAGAATGAAGGGGTGAAGCCTAATTCATAAAACCTCTTAGATTACTAACACTGTAGTTCTCAGGCGGAAGTGATTTTGTGACTCTGCCACCACCATCATCAGGGGACATTTCAGGTTGTCATGACTCAGAAGGGTTGCTCCTGTCTCTTGAGCGGAGGCCAGGGTGCTGCTGGACTCCAACCAAACACAGGGCAGCTCCCACTACAGAATTAGTCCAAAGTAGCAATACTGTTATGGTTGCTGGGTGTGGTGGCGCATGCCTGTAATCTCGACACTGATGTTCTTCAATAAATATATATTGCTTTAATCTTAAAAACACTAAAATATATTATTTACCTGGTATAAATGCCCATTCTAGGCTTGGTCAGATTAATTGCTGAAAGTCCATCAGTAAAGAGATTTCTCTAAAAACTGGGAACCAGCCTTATCTGCTCTCTATAATACAATACATGAAGGATCAACAGAAAATAGAGCTTAATAACTATATATTATTGAATGAGATAATAAGAATTATTCTGTTAAAGGATGTATTATCTATAAAATTATAAAACATTGATTATATATTTTCTAAAGTCTTAAAGACATGAAGAGAATAGGTTGAAAGTTTTATACAAAGGCACTGATGTAGCCCAGGCTGATCTGGAACTTGCGATGATCCTCCAGCCTCAGCCTCTGGAGTGCTGGGATTACAGGTGTGCACCACCACACCTGGCTAAAAAGTTCCCCTTCCCACACTTAATCTGTACCTGAAGCAAAGTCTCGGAGGATGGTGCAGTCTGCCCTCGGAGGTGCCCGTGGCCCATGCCTGAACCCTGTGTGTAAACGTCAGTGTTGTGGCACACTCTAGAAATCCCCACACTCTGGGAGTCAGAGGCAAGAGGGTCACAAGCTCAAACCCAGACTGGTGAGACCCTGTCTCAAAATTCTTAAAAGGGCTGAGGATGTAGCTCAGTGTAGAAGCCCTCGGTTCTATCCCTAGTACTGCAAAAAGAAAGAAAAAGAAACCCTCCAGTGTTCACCATAAAACACTGATGTCTGTGATCTTGCTCTGGAGGCAAACACAATGCAACAGCATAAGCAGCAACTGTGCGTGAGTTCATTTGTGAAGGAGGTCCTCAGATATGTATTAATTACAATTATTAAAGGTACTAAGGTTTGTGGGTGATACACACACGCTTCCTCCCTCCTTCCCTTTGTCTGTCTCTGTCTTCCTTTCTCTTCCTTTCTTTTTCTCTCTCTTTTTCTTTTTGTAGTACTGTGGATTGAACCCCAGTGCTTTAACACTGAGCTGCATACCTAGTCCTTTTTATTTTGAGACAGAGTCTCATTAATTCATTAAATTTTTCCCATGAGCTGGAACTTGCAAGCTTGTTGCCTCACCCACCCAGAGTGCTGGGACTGCAGGCATGTCTCACAGTGTCCGGGCCAAAATGTACTTTGTTGAGTAGCAGCATTTGGAAATTACAGCTAGCCTTGGAAATTACACCTGAGTCAAGTAGAGGGTATCACAGTATGTTAATCAGCTTTTCTGTTGCCTTAACCACATAGTTGAGACAATCAACTTAAAAAGAGGAAATGTTTGTTTTGGCTTAAGGTTTTACAAGTTGGCCCCTATTGCCTGGGCCTATACCAAGGCAGCAAATAGGGGCAAAGCGAGCTGCAAAGAGAGAGGGAGGAAGGGATAAGGGTCCCAGTACCCGCTCAAGGGTGCTCTGCCCCCACGTGATCTCACTTCCTCCCACTAGACCCTATCTCTTACAAGTTCTACTTCCTAATAATACATGGGCTGGGACCGGCCCTGTAACACGTGGGCCTTTGGAGACATTTGAGATCTAAGCGCATTTGGTGTGTATGTGCAGCGGGTTAAAAAGCAACAACTGCTGAGGGGGTTGGGAGTGTCCCTCAGCTGAAGAGTGCTCTCCTAGCGTGTGCGACACCCTGGGCTCCATCCCCACTGAGAGACAGAGGGAGAGAGAAAGGAAGGAAGAGAGAGAAAGAGAAGAGACTGAGACTGAGAAAGGACACAAAGGTGAGATGAAGAAAATGACGGTTCAAAAAAAAAATGGCAGTTCTGAGAACGCAGAGCATCTGCCTCACACCAGCACTGTTCACTGCCTTTGAAGTGTCCTGGCAGCCGTCTGCTTAATAAGTAAATGATAGCCGGTGAAGAGGAAGCAAGTATAAGAATTGAGCTGTGTCAAAAATATTTTTTAAAATGTAAGAAATCCAATTATTTTTATGGAGAGATAGGCCCTTTAATAGTTCCTTGTTACAGTTCAGAAAGCATGGTGGAGAGCTGGAGATGTAACTCAGCGGCACAGCGCCTGCCCGACAAGCGCAAGGCAGGCGCAAGCTCTTGAGTTTGATTCCTGGTACAAGGGAGCCGGTGGGGGGGGGTGCCAAAAAACATGGTAGAAATACACAGCACAAGTGGGGTATGCAAGGAGCATTTGGTTTTGACATAATGCGGGACACTATCAGTAAGCCACTGGGCAGAATCAGACGTTTCCTCACGGGCAAACACCGCACAAGCTGGCATAACACCCAAGTGTTTGCAGCACCTTTGACTTGGAAATTTAGAGATGAACCATAATGGATGAGTTTCTATGGTAATATTATAACTAGAGGCAATCACGGATTCACAGAAGAATATTTTCAATCTAGTTATAAGTAAGAAATGAGTCATCTATATGCTATGCAAATTTAAAATGAGTAAATTTGGAAACTATTATTTCTGTTTTTATACAGCTTTATAGTTTTTGGGGGGAAATGTGGATATATCTGGAAAATTCAGAGAATGTCCCTTTCAAAGGGCAGTGATGAAAATCATTAAACTAGGCCAGGTGGGGTGGTGCACACCTGTAATCCCAGCACTTGGCAGGCTGAGTGTGAGTTCGAGACCAGCCTTGGCTACAGAGTGAGCTCAAGGCCATCCTGAACAGCATAGCGAAACCCTGTCTCAAAAAAAACAAAAAAAAAAGATAAAATCATTGAACTTTCTAAGTAAGAGAAGCCTTCAGTAATGTCTAGTACTATATCTACTGGCCACATGTGGCTGTGAGGCATTTGGAAGGTGGTTAATGCAATAAAGAAAATGAATTTTTATTTTAAATATCTACCTGTGCCTAGTATCTACTCTTATTAAGGCAAAATAACTGACAGTCAAGTTGTATAGTAGTAAACATGTCTGATCGGATAATGAGTTCATTAGCAGTATTACAGTATTACATAGCCAGAGTTCTTTCACTCTTTAATTTTCTATCTTGTTCTAGGTAGAGTTATTATCATGCTTGACTTAACTTAGCTTTAAAATAATGTCTTTAGGGGCTGGGGATTTAGCTCAGCAGCACAGCGCCTCCCCGGCAAGCACAAGGTCATGAGTTTAATCCCCGGTACTGGGGAAAAAAAAAAAAAAAATAGTGCCTTTAGGCCAAGAATGGTGGCGCATGCCTGTAATCCCAGCACATGGGAGGGTGAGGCAGGAGGATCACTGTAAGTTTGGGGCCTGCCTGGGCTACAAAGTAAGTTCAAGGCCAGCCTAACTGGACTGTATAGCAAAACCCTGCCTCAAAAAGACAAAACAAAACAAAAATATCTTTATTCTGAGTTTTCCTTAAATCATACACTCTAAGCTCCGAAGTGCTAGTGTCATTGTCACTAGAGTTCAGGATACTGAATCAAGACTCAAAATTACGGATGCTTTTTTCTCTGAGGGTGATCTCATACTTTTTTTTTTTTTTTTTTTTTCTGGTACCGGGAATCGAACTCATGACCTTGTGCTTGCCAGGCAGGCGCTTTGCCACTGAGCTAAATCCCCAGCCCCGATCTCATACTTTTTTACATTTTAAAATTATATATAATGCTGAAATTTTGGCATAAGATGTACTAGTGTTTACAACTTACTTTGAAATGTGTAAAAAATTAAAATGCATTGATGGATAGGTGGATAGATAGTAGATACGTGATAAGGCAAATACAGCAAAATGTAAATACATGATGTCCACTGTACAAGTCTTTTCACTTTTCTGAAAATTTTATAATAAAATATTGAAGGATGTTATTAATGTAACAAAATATTCCTGGCTTTCATAATAAAGTGTGTTCATATTTTAAATGTGAAAGTAAGCATATTAAATATTTTGAAATTTGTTTTTTTTCTTGAATTTACCCCTTCTCTATTAAATAGGGCCAAGGAGCGATAACTGAACGTTTAAGGAGTTTCAGTATGCATGACTTAACGGCCATCCAAGGTGATGAGCCTGTGGGACAAAGACCGTATCAGCCTTTACCAGAAGCAAAAAAGAAAAGCAAGCCAGCCCCCGGTCAGTCAGCAGGTGCGCTTGTTTTAATTTATGGTCCTTTGTAATTGGGCTTGTGGCTCAGGAGGGGTACTAAAATAACACATTAACTGTTTAAATTTTGAGAGATAAATTTACTTTTACGCTTATATTTTTGAGTTTTATATTTTACCATAGCTCACTTTCTCCAAGTACATAAGATTAGTGTTTGCTTTTCACTGACCATGGAAGTCATCCAGCTAATATAGTAGCAGTGGCCTCTTCAGCGGCTGTGAATTGTTAGAAGCAGCGGTGTGAGTGCTTCCTGACCACCAAGCTGAGCTCTGATCTGTCATCGGTACTGTCTCTGCTCGGAAGATGCAGTAGCAGTTGAGGAGTTTCACAGTTCAGCACTCTTTTCTATAGGCACTGTGGGCAGGTTAGGATACCGACTGACAAGAGAACAAAGTTTAAGCAGATGAAGAAAGATGATTCAATTTGAAAGTAGGACTGTTTCGGTGGAAAATATTTTGAAATTACACATTCAATGTCACAAACTAACTTGTAGTCATACATACTATACATTATGACCATGTCACAGTTCCTGTGCTTAATATACTATTGTGATCTTAAAGCACACCCATAAATAAGTGTAGTTCCTTCATTTTATCACATGTAATAGAAATTTTAGTTCAAGGCAAGGCTGACACCTAAGATCTTCATGCATTTCCTATTAATGTGTTAATCCACAGGTAAAAGACTTAATCTTTTCTTTAAAAAAGTTTTCTTTTGAAGGAGGTTGAAAGTCATCCCTTATAAAAATTAAAACCAGTACAAAAAAGAAAAAATGGTTCCATAAAAAGGAAAAACAATGAACTTTCTTCTGACTTTTCCCGAGAATGAATAACATTGCAAAGTTGGTAGCCATTATCTAAAAGATAGTAATCAACCATTGGCCATTGATTTAGACAGTGATGCACTTAAGAAGGAAGAACCACTGGGCATGTTGGGGCACACCTGTGACCCCAGCACTCTAGGAAACTGAGCTCGGAGGATCACAAGTTTGAGGCCAACCTGGGCAACTTGGCAAGACAGTCTCAAAAATTAAAAAAATTGTTAAAAAAAATTATAAAGGACTAGGCATGTAACTTAGTGCTACACACAAAAAAAGTAGTAGTAAAAACCATTTAACTTTGAGCCATCACCTTTATTAATACATTATTAAAATAAATGTAGTCCCGGGCTGGAAATATAGTTCAGTGGCACAGCTCTTGCCTTGTATGTATGTCATGAGTTCAATTCCTGGAACCACCAAAAAAACAAAATGTAGTCCTTAATATAGGCCTTATAAAGTATACATTTAAAATTAGTTATACTGACTTAGATTATATGGTGTGCTGTATGTATTATATTTTTGCTGATTTAGACCTTATATTTAAATTCTTTATCAGTAGCTTATTTAAAATTATATTTTAGAATTAGTTATGTTCCAAATGCCCAAATGAAAATAGGATCACAAATATGAAACACCATAACATTATTTTTATGTTACTCATCTTTTAAATGTAGATATTGTTAGAATAGCTGCTAGAATTAAAAGTTGAGTAGAGCCTGAAGTTTTTACTTTTGCCTCAAGCCTTCAATTCAAATAAATTCTTAAAGCATTAACATTTGAATGTAAGAAACAATCCAGCAGGAAATTCCTGTGTATATTTTTATTCTCTCAGGATAGATAAACTTTCTTAAGCCTGACATCAAAGTCAGACAATATAACAAAAGTTTGAAAATTATTCTACATGTAAAAAGTTGAACTACCCTACAGGGGAAAAAAAATCACACTATAAAAAAGACAAATTACAAACTCTCAGAAATGTTCCCATTATATTTTATAGGCCAGTGGTTCAGATTTTCAGTTATCTAGGAACTCTTACAAACCCATTGTTGTCAGTTATACTGAAGAGTACAACTGACCAAGTCATACATGAAAAAGATCTTCAGCATTACATCATAAAGAAATAGTACATTTAAGGAGTAATAATTTCACAAAATCCAAAGAACAGATTTTAATCAGTAGTGTTCTGTGTTGGTGACTGTTCCAGTTATGTATCTATTATTGCCTAGCAAAACGGCCCAAAACAGTGGCTGAAGACCATCACTGTCACCCACCTTGCTCACAAACGAGAGCTGTGCGTGGATTCAGCAAAGCAGTTCTGCAGCTGCAGTCAGGCTGCCTCTGGGATTGCAGCCATGATCTCCAAGGAGAGCGCAGGCAGGCCCTGGCTGGGAGAGCCAAACCGCCTGTGGCTAGAATGGCGGGGCGCTCACATGTCTCTGTGTGGTCTCTACTTGGTGGGGGTTGGGGCTGGGCTTCACTGGCTGCTGAAGGCTCCCAGTGCCCCGTGAGAAACTAGCAGGAGCCCTGTAGTATCATTTCTGCAGCATTCTTGGGAGTAGTTGGTTGTGGCAAGTACAAAGGGCTATGAGATTTAAGGGACGGGAAAAGAATGTCAGAGGACGCATGGACATGTTTTAAAACCACCACAGCAAACATACTAAGAACCAAACTCATGCACACTGTATGAGTTTTAAATAACCCTTCTAGATCATAATCTGGCATTAATCAAAATTTATTTCCTTTAACTCAGCAGGAAACTTCTAGGAATTTGTCATAAGGAAATAATCAGGCAAGTGTTCAAAGATATATATAAAAGAAAGTTCATCTTGGGCTGGGGATGCACCTCAGTCATAGAGCACTTGCCTAACAGGAGTTCAGTCCCCAGCACTGGACAAGAAAAAGTTCCTCTCGTTCGTAATTACAATTATTAGAACCAATTAAATGTCTAAGATAAATTACTGTGCAATAACATGGTTTATTAGCATGCAAAATGTCAGTATATACAGGACTTACTGCCTTAAAAAAAATCCAGGTTGTGGGGAAAATAGTAAAGCAATATGAGCATTATGATTCTCTCCTATAGATAGTGAAACAGTTCCCTGTACTGTACTGGAAGGGGTTTTGTGTCGCTTTGGTTTTGTCTCCATTTGGTCTCGCCAAGTAGTGCAGGCTGGCCTCGAACTCACCCAGATCCCTCTGCTTCAGCCTCCCAAGTGTGAAGTTATGTTTTAAATGTATATACATACCAGGAAAGTATGGCATGAAATTACTAAAATGTTAGCAGTATTTAGTTCTTAGGATAATCCCAGCAGTATGGAAGGCTGAGGCAGGAAGATTATAAGTTTGAGCCTACCCTGGGCAACATAGCCATTTAGGGAGATCCTGTCTCAAAATACAAAAATTAAAGCCACGGGGGCTGGGGATTTAGAATGGGGGCTGGAGATTTAGCTCAGCAGCACAGCGCCTGCCCGGCAAGCACAAGGTTGTAAGTTCGATCCCCGGTACCAGAAAAAAAAAAAAAAAAAAAAAATTAAAGCCAGGCATAGTGGCACACTTCTGCGATGCAATCCCAGCATTTAAAAGGCTGAGGCAGGAAGATCCTACATGTTTGAGGCCAGCAATTTTTAGCTCAGTGCAAAGTCCGTGGTACTACAATCTCCAGTACTGGGAAGAAATCTTTTGCCGAACTCAGATCTAATCTTGTTACCTTTCTACTTAAAATACTTCAATGCCCTGCCCCCGTTCCTCTCTGAAGTTTAAATTCAGTACCTCCCTAGTTTTGCTTTCCCACTGCATTTGTGCCACTGTGTGGAATCCTCAGTCTTCCAGGATTTGGGCATAGGGACAGTCCCTCCTACCAGAGTTTCTTCTCCAGCCCATCCCCCACCCCAGGCTGAGTTTGCTCTCCTGCTGTGCCAGGATGCACCTTGTCCTGTAGCACCTTGTCCTTCTCCTCTATTTATAGCAGTATTACACTGCCCTGTAGAATCTTTCCTCTGTTGATCTGTACATTTAAGAGTAGAAAAACACAGCCATTTCCTTACCATCATTGTATCCCCATAATGCACATGGACTCATACATAATAGAATTTTTAAAATACTTGTAGAGTAACAAGGCAGTCCATCATCTTTTCTGAGGCTGCAATTAGAAAGTTAATACTTTTTTTTTAGCTGAAATTAGGAAAGAGAAAAAATAAAATGTATAAGTTTTTGAATGAAATTCCCATTCCTAATCATATGAAATGAGAAGCCATTAAAGAAGCAGGGACTATGTTTATTGAACAGTACTGCTGTGCTACATACACCTCTGGCCTTAGCTTTGTGCATGTGTGTGGTGCTTAAGATCGAACCCAGGGCCTTGTGCATGCAAGGCAAGAACTCTACCACTGAGCTGCATCCCCAGCCCTTAGAGAACTTCTTGATCATAGTTGATTCATTTCTGACTCTTGGTTTCTCATTCTGTGTTTTGCCATGTTGCAATCAAGAATATTATATGAGCAACAGCAATAAAAAAAAAACTATGCTGGGGATATAGTTACTTATCTAGCATCTGCAAGACTTTGGGCTCAACCCCCAGCGCCACAAAAATAAAGAAACCTTTCAAAAAAGAAACCTAATTTGGAAATGACATCCTAAAAACAAAATGTTTCCATTTATTATACTCAATTATAGAATTATAATTTTTAAATATTTGGCAAATTAGAAAAAGAAAAAAGAAATTTGGATTACCTAAAAGCCCATTTCCAGGAGATATAATGGGTTTATTTTATGTTTTTCCTTTGTTTACTTCTTAACGTACATTTTTTTTCCCACTTTATACTGATCAGGATTTTGTCCCAGTACTGTGACCCCATGGCCTGCCCTGACCACGCCGGCCTCTGGCTTTCCAAGCAGACTTGCTCCTGTGCCGCCCTGGCTCTCCCCATAACACACTCTTTTCACTGACGCAGTAAAACAAAGACCTTGGCCCAGAGGATGACTGATTGTTCCTCAAATCCTTTTTAATTTCTAGCCTAAAATCCTGGCAGTGTAAAACTGTACTTGCCTAATATACAATTAAAGTTGTTTCTATTATTATGAGAGTAAGAAGCTTATTAAGAACTCTTCGAGGTTTGCCTTGTGAGTCTCAGATTGTTCATTATTCGCATCCTGGGAGAGCCGACTAAGGAACATGTATTCAGTGTATTTTTCTTAGTATGCAAGGAGTCTTCTGTCTCTTTCCTCCTCCTCATGCTGGAAATCCTTCTTCTTCCCCGTGCTGACTTAAATCCGGGTGCCCCTTGCCACATCCCTGACTTCAGGACCTTCCGTCACGCTGCAGGTGGCCTTAGAATTGCCCCCATCTTGTCCTCCCCAGGAGCTTTAGGCCCTTGTGTTTAAAACAGGACTTATTACCATAAACATCACCTGGGGACTTGTTAGAGAGCCAATTTCAGCCCACCCCAGGCATGCTGACTCACCGCCTCTCCGGGTGGAGCCCAGCAATCTGCACGGGCACGTTCTGTTGGTAGTCTACCTTGTGCCAAAGTTTGAGAACCTCTGCTATGGGGAGGGAGAGTTCTTGTCCCTGAGTTCCAGCCTGGATACTCTCAGACTGTACAGTGACCCTGAGCGCCTGAATGTTTGCCTATCGGCAGTAGTAAGTCTTCAGAGCTACCCGTAACAGCCTGCTAGCGCACCCAATGGTCTCCCTGGCCTTCCTGCTGCTGCCCGCCTTCCCTGACATAACGTCCATCATCATAGCCTGTGGTGTTTCCACTTACTCTTGCTTGCCTGGCTGATTTTTATCTCAGCAGCTGCAACAGAGTTGGAGTAACCTCCCCAATACCTGGCCCCAGTGAATTCCCACTGTCCAGAGCTGTAGCCCTGTTGCAGCTTCTTTGGTTCACTCTGCCATCCCCAGCCTTATGAGATGGGTGGGGGGACCTCCCTCCCTAATTAAAGTCAAAGGCACAAATGACAGGCTAGAGCTCGCCAATGCTTGTCAGGCAGAATTCATGAGAGGGTGAGAAAGACTGCAATGTATCTAGTTAGGGTCACTGATTTTTTTTTTTTTTAACAAGATGAATGTGTTACCTCGTAAAAATTGTTTTTAATAAATGCATTGTAAAAATGAGAATGGTCAGGAGAACTTCCTGGAGGAAGTGAGTTCCGATTTTTATCTAGAGTAGTGTAAGGAACAGAGATTAATGACAGGGCAGGGAGCACATTCCTGAACAGACAGGAGAAGGGTCCTGGGCAAATGCGAAATGAGAGGACTGCAGACAGACGGCAAGAGCCGGTGCGGTGCTGGCGGTGTCTTTTTACCAAAACATGCCATTTCTGACAACTTGCTTAGCGTATGGAATTCCACTGCAAGACGGAGATGAGAAGACAGACGAAGAAGCGGATGGGCCATATTCGGATGACGAGATGGTGACACACAAAGGACTTCGAAGATCACAGAGCATGAAATCTGTGAAAACCATCAAAGGCCGAAAGGAGGTTAGTCAAGTAGAAAGCTGTTTTGCTAAGGGATTAATATTCAGGGGTTTCCCTGATGCATTATCATGTAGGGTAATGATCCATAAATGAAGAGTTGGAATTGTAGAGAAGCATTTAAAAGTCTTCATGCAGACCCGATGTATATCTTAATATCTGGATTTTTTTCCTGGAAATTTATAAAATGTCAAGTTCATAGTCTTCTATTATTTTGCAGAAAACGGCATTCCCACATAGCAAGTCACCCTGTTACCATGAACACCCAGTCCCACCCCCATGCGTAAATGAGGAAAGCTAATAGCAAAGTTTAGTTTTGCTTTCAAGCAGCCCTATATGATGATGAAGTAATAAAGGCTTATCCATAAATAATAATAGCTAATGGTTTATTAATGATAATCTGCTGGGTATATTCAACATATTACCGACTGCATTTTAATGAGTATGGATGTAGTGCTTTTTTTGTATATGCTTACAAGATAATTAATTCTTTGTATCAGAAAGATCAGAAAGTTACTCTAGTTGTGAACCATTACATCCTATCCTAATTTGAAAAGTAATCAAGCTGATTCTTCACAAGACTTTTTTTCTGCAGGTGCGGTATGGTTCGCTGAAATACAAGGTGAAGAAGAGACCGCAGGTGTATTTTTAGTCATCAAACTTCAAGTACCCTAAGACAAGTAATACTAATGCACCAGCTTCATTTTCTAACATGTTATCTTCAGGATTTACACATGACAGTGATTCCTTGTATTGTGGCAATAAGATTTAGTTTCATGAATTTAAATATTTTTACATCTTTAACAATTACTTTTAAATATTGAAGAAAGGTAATCACACAAGCTGTATTAACTTATGTACCCAAACGTGTAGGAAACCATGTTACACAGGCCCACAGTATACTTGAAGAAACTCACTATGGTTCAGAATCTGTCAGCCTCTGTGTGTTACATTACATTTACCTCCAGCTGTGTTGTGTCTGGACACATGCGAATGGTAACTAAGCCTCTGATCAGGCAGTGGTATCACAAGGCCATACAGTAAGTAGTGAAGTACGTTATTCTTTACATTGTTACTTTTGTAATACTTTCTACTTTTTTCACCTTTAACTGAAAGATTTTGAAACAAATATTTGAAAAGCTGGTATTCATATAGCGCTTTCCTAACTAGTTTTGCACTCTTGAAAATTGTTTACTTTTTTTACATCTATACATTGCCTTTAAATTTTATTGACACTACATTGTTTGTCATATTCTGACGTGTTGAGATTATGCCTTGAAGAACATTATCTCCTTTCTTGTGGGTTCCATTTGTTCAATTTATTGGATTTATAATATTAAAATACATCTAATTATTCCATTTTAACTTTTTAAGTTAGCTTCTTTACAAATGAGAAGTTACTTTAAACATTAGTTGTCCATATTTAGCTGTACAATGTAGTTAAACTTAGCACATTTATCAACACCAATTACATTTTCTGTTTGTAAAAATGGTATTAGCTTTTGTGAAATGGAATTGGAGAACAGTATAACAGTCTTTTAATTCATAAAATTATCCAACAGCCAATCCATTCACAAGCTTGGCATTGATATGTACTGCTGGTTTATAAATCTGGCATTGACTAAAATCATTTGAATCTTCTTCTGGCTGAGATAATTCTCTGAATATGAGTGTCCATGCAAAATACAGACATGATTAATCCTCTATATCAGAAACTATTAGAAATATCATTGTTTAATCCAAGAAATTTGGAGATCTAGAACCGTGAGGCTTTCTTCAGGTTGCACCAATAACTATGCATTATGAGCCCTTAGTCAGTATTTTATGGGTGATGATTTTTCTGATCAATAATCAAATTTGTACTTACTATGCTTATTCAGATAATTTACTTGGCCAGCCTATTTGTTTGCCCAAAAGAGAACAGTAAGAGAGATTTGTGGGACGTTTGACTTTTCTGCCTTTTAAGAAAAGTAAGCCACCTGGTAATATATATTCAAGACCCCCTCGGAGTATTGGCTGAGAACAGAATGTTTACTCAGGGGTACATTAGTATAATTCATACATTGCCTCTTGATAGTAGTCTTAATATTTTTACACTGTCCCACATTCTTGATACATAATCCCAAGTAAAAATTCATTCCCCGTTTTTCTCCCAGAGTTTAAAACTATGAATATCCACATCTACTTTTACTTAACTACTTTTTAGCCTTTTCATTTCTTGAAGGACTGTCTAGTTTTATGCTAAACTCCTATGAATTCTAATTATAAATGCTTGGAAGCAAATTTTATTTATATTGCCTGGTGCTAGACTTCGATATAAATACTACATCATGCTAGCTTCTGCTACACACAGGCATTCAGAGGCAGTGTCATCTCACATTGCCTGATCAGGTCATGTAAGTCACCTTGTATCAAAAACAGTGTCTTCGGACGCCAACTGGCACCATTTGCCTTTTTCAGTTCTAATTATCTTAGCATTAGGCCTGTCCTGTGGGGCTAAGGACCTAACTCAGTGGCAGAGGACGTGCTTAACCTGAGCAAGGCCCTGGGTTCAGTCCCCAAAACACTCACACATACTATCCATTGGTATGGATGTTTATATCTTAGAAACAGAACACTTCGTTTCCGACAGCCCCACCCTGGGAGCAGCCGTGCAGGTCCTTCAGCGTGCTCCTTCCCCTTTGGTCCAGATGTGTTTGTGCTGCTGCCGTCCTTATATGAAATTGATACCATCATGTTCTCCCATGTTCTGTCTCCTTTTACATTTCTTACATTTTGGTGTTGTCCTCTTGCTGTGTTTTAGCATGGCCCTGTCTTTGAGCTTTGTGTAATAAGCTTACACATTTGTACTTCTTTTAAGGTGGAATAGGTCTTTCTTTGTTTCTCTGCATTTACATCTACTGATTTTAAAAGATGTACATTTCCTGTAGACCAGAGTGCCTCGCCTTTCCCCTCTCCACTCAGTGGCCAGGCCCTTCGGTGCACAAGCGACCTAGAGCACTGTTTCGGTAGCTGTGGGAACTTACCCAGAAATTGTAGCTGGTATTTTTTTTTTTCTTCTTTTTGGTTTTTTTCCGGTACTGGGGATCGAACTCACAACCTTGCGCTTGCCTGGCAGGTGCTGTGCCACTAAGCTAAATCCCCAGCCCATAGCTGGTCTTTCTTAAACTGTATACTTACCCAGCTTGTTCACCAGTGCTTAACCATTTGCCAAGCTTGTTTAGAAGTAATAACTGACCAATTCTTACTCTGTTATACTGTACACCATTTTCCATGGTATAAAAAAGCACTAGCTGTAACTCTATATCTAAGTAATTAATTATGCACCCATATCCCTTCCACACACCTCATTGTCTATCTGTGTGTTTGGCTAAGAAATGATACTGCCACCATTACTAATTATAAATACTTGACTACACTGGTTGATGGAACAAAATCATTAAAGTGTTTTCAGGGATCATTTTCCATGTCTCACCACCAAAGAATTGTGCAGTGTTATAAAGTGTATAAATTTCTGTAAAACATTGGTTAGATAAGTATGTCTTCTTTCTTTCTTGAAATAACATGTAGTTTGTACTTTTGGAAAGGGCTTGAACTTTTATGTTGTTAAAATATATCATCAGTATCATCACTACCTTATATTGAAGTAATTTTTATTTTATAATTGGAATGGTCTAAATTCTCATTTAATACCTTTTATCAGGAAAAAGGAGCTAATATGTATTTAAAAGCAATTTCCTATGTTTTCTCCTGTGTAGGTTATTTGTGAAACAAGTAATGTTTGAGATCATTTCTGTTGCGATATGCAGTATGTATTTCTTAGTAAATATCATCTAAGATTAAAGTTTTCTGAAGAGAGCTTTTTTTTCCCTAAATGTTTTGAATGTTTAGTCTTTCAGTAGTATTCTGAAGATTTGATGTATCTCAGCCCTACTTAAACATTGACCAATAGCTTAACATTTTCTCTTCTAACATCTTTTAAATCTATGTACTTTAATAGCTAAAAGAAAATAATTTTACAAAACTTTACTCTCTTTGTAAAAGTTGCCTTTTAGCCCAGTATATGGGTAATTTTAAAAGTGTATTTTTTGAAAATAAACTCATTTATTAGTGGTAATTTGTTTTTCTTTTTCTTTTTATTTTTTTTATTTTTATTTTTTTCCAGTACCGGGAATCGAACTCATGACCTTGCTCTTGCTAGGCAGGCACTGTGCCCCTGAACTAAATCTGCAGCCCTGTATATCTTTTTAAATGTCAGAATACTTATCATAGATTCTGTGAGTTTGTATTATTGGTTACATCTTGACAATACACATGCATTTAAGGTTACAAATCACAGAGCAAATTATGAAATGCGTATGTACCCTGTAATGCTCATCTGTAGGCCAGCAGAAGGCTGCAGAGTGGCTCAGTTTCCATTTCTTGCCTCAGTGCGCAAGGCGGCGGGGTTCTATCCCGGGCATCACATACACACACACACAAAAAAAAAACACCCCCAAGAACTGCAGAAGAAATACCAAATTGTTAAATTTGGATATTAGAAAGACGGGAAAAACAGTGCATTCAGAAACCCCAGCCAGTGACTGGTGAGCTATCGCAAGCATAAAGTACAACACAAAACTTATGTACCCTGGAAATGTTCTGAGCGCCCATCTGTTTGAAAGTCTGACGTCTGTCTGCCTCACATTTAAGCTTCAGAGAGAAAACCTATGTTGAAAACTATTTCTTTGTGTTGTTTCCTTATGATATGTATATTTAAGTGTTTCCAGATAGCATTTAAACTGTAGTGATATTTTTATTTTTATTATAAGGTATATCCTTGTGATGATCCAAAGAGGTTAGAAATGCAATGAATATCTGAAATGCAGCACTTGTTTTCAGTATTTTATTATTTCTTGAAGTGGCTCCCTATGGTTAAAAAAGAGATTTGTGGAGCCAAGGATGTAGCTCAGTAGCACAAGCACTTGCCTAGCAAGTACGAGGTCCTGAGTTTGATTCCCAGTACCAAAAAAAGAGATTTGTGGAATAAAAATCATGTCAGAGGCTGATTAATTGTTCTCTGGAAAGCATTCTACCCTTTTACCTACTTATTAATATTCTATCCTTGAAACATTCTCTTTATGGTCCAGCTTTGTAATTTTTTTTGTACCGGGACTCTAACTCAGGACCTTGCACTTGCTAGGCAGGCGCTGTGCCACTGAGCTATGTATCCCTGGCCCTAGCTTCATTTGTTTTTGTTGGTGGGGGGGGGGCCTTTTTGAGACAGGGTCTCACTATGCAGTTCAGGCTGGCCTTGAGCTCACTTGGTAGCCCAGGCTGGCTTCGAACTTGCAACAATCCTCCTGCCTCAGCCTCCAGAGTGCTGGGATTACAGGTGTGCGCCACCAAGCCCAGCTTTCATAATTTTTTAAATTGCTTTTTAAAAGATAACTCTTTGAATCGAAATTTTAAAGCACAAGATTGACAATTCTAAGTATAGGTTACTAAAGCACTGTGCTAAAAAAAAAAAAAAATAGGAAAATCACCATGCTTACTTTTTGTTTACTGACAATCCCATATTTAAAGAAAGAAAGGAGAAAGGCAATGGATGGAATTTTGGTATTATGTACAAAGCAAGATAGCATCAATTCTTTTTTTTTTGTTTTGTTTTGGTTTTTTCTGGTACCAAGAATCGAGCTCAGGACCTTGCGCTTGCTAGGCAGGCGCTGTGCTGCTGAGCTATATCCCCAGCCCCAGCATCAATTCTTTAAATTCAAAAGTATCCATTGATTGTCTACCTTATAACGCAGCCCTGTTACACCTGTGTATAATGCTTAGATCCAAAGAGGATAGAACTAATTAAAGGAAAGAATTCTTGCTGGTTTTTTGTTTTGTTTTGTCTTTTGGTTTTTTGTTTTTTTGTATTTTCTTTCCGGTACCAGGAATCAAACTCACGACGTCACGCTTGCCAGGCAGGCACTATGCCGCTGAGTTAAACCCGAGCCCCTCTTGTCTTTTAGTTTTTTGACACGGGGTCTCATTATGTAGTCCAGGGGGGTCTCACCCCCATGCTGGCCTCCAACTTGTGGAAATACTCCTGCCTCAGCCTCCTGACTGCTGGGATTACAAGCATGCACCACCACTAATTCTTGCTTTAAAAAAAATGAATTCACTATTACCAAGTCAGTGTTTGCATTATCTGAGCATGCTTTATCCTGTGATTTATTGTAGGTATTGAGTAATTCACTAGGTTCTCTCAAAGCAGTTTTTGTTGTTTTATTTTGTTTTGTTTTTCAATCCTTAGTTCTCTTTTTTTACCTCTTAACATCTAAATACATTAGCAAGGCCTTTGGCTCTCTGCAAAATACATCCTGAATCTAACCTTTCACATGGCCTGAAGCTTTCTTGGTTCAAGCCATCACCATCACGTTTTACCTGGGGTACCCAGGATCTTTGGGACAGGATTTCTTAAACATTACATTTTTAGTAGCTTTGCAAATTTTTCAGAGTGACATTTAACTTTGAGCCCCATAAGACTGCCAAGGTTTCTTATGTTTTCAACTGTAAACTTGGGAAATAACTTAACAGAAGATCAAAAAGACAATGGAGATGAAGAACGGGAGACGCACTTGTACATCAGCTTTGGAAAAGCTGTTTTTGTTTATTTTCCAGGTGCTGAGATTGAGAAAAATGGGTGAGGAGAGGGGATGATGGAACCCAGTTAGAGCGTCTGGATGAACTTGCTTGCCTTCTGACAGATGCTGGTCCAGGAAACAGGCTGGGTCCACTGTAGAGATTCCTCCCTCTCAATGCCAGGCCCAAGGCTACAGGAGATTGTGTTTGTGCCTGGAGTCCACAGGAAGTACCTGGGTTTGTCAGAGTTCCCCAGAGAAACACAGCCAGGAAAACAGATTTATTATAAGGAACTGACTCGTGTGATTATGAAGGCTGACAATTCCAGAACTGGTATGGTAGCTCATAGGCTGGAGACCCAGTGAAGAGTGGATTTTGCCGACAATTCAGAATTCCCTCTTTGGTTGACTGCATGAGGCCCTCTCCCATTACAGAGAGTAATCTGTTTCACTCAGAGTCTGCTGGTTTAAATGTTCATCTCATAAAAAAAAAAAAATCTCCCCAGCATCGTCTACATTAGCGTTTGACCAAATGTCTGGGTACAGTGGCCTAGCCGAGATGTCTTAGGATTCAAAAGAAACGCCATCTCAAAATGTAAAGCCACTTGACTAATTCAGTATGCAGAAACTATAATCTTAGATTTTATCAGTTTATCGTACAAACAAAAGGAATGCTGTAGCACATGGTTTACTTGGAAAAAGAACTTACTGTACAAGGCTTCTGGTGTCCCTTATATTCAGTTGAGGTAACATTTTGTACCAGCTTGTTTTTGCTCTGTTAGAAGAGTTATCCCTCCTTGACAAACAGAAAATCTATCATTGGGACTTAAGGCCCTTTTACCTCTATTATCCTTGGTTACCCTGGAAATCACAGAATACTTTAAAAGCTAGAATAGAAGTGATTCTTACCATATATGTATTCAGATCAGAACTTTCCGAGTATCAGAAAATCAATGGAATCAAGTTTTTTGGGCAATAATAGATTTGGCTATGGGACGAGCTTCAGGAGGGGATAATGCTTTTAAATGGAATCGAAAAGAACAAATCCTTTACCATCTAAGACAAACAGGCCCGAGGAGGAGCTGTACCTTGGGTGGGAGGAGCCGCCTCAGGAAGTGCTTGCCTCCCTCCCGCGCCTTCCCCCCTTCAAACCACACCTTGTAAATGCTTTTATGTGCTCAGTTCACAACACGAGGAATTCCGTGTGTTGTTCCACACTGGGTCCAACTAATAAAACACACACACACAGGGCCAAATGCCTTTTTACACAGGAGATTAACTGCTCCGTCTTTAAGTTGAAATCAAGTACAGTGAGGGTATACAGCAGGCGACGGTTTCCATATGTTACGTTCTAGGCAGGCAGAACTACGTTATTTATAGTTTACAACATGTTGCATAAAATTAAACCTAGCAAGGGGGCTCCCGGGAGGTAAATTAGACAAAGAAGAGAAGACAGAACCGTTCTGCTGTATTCTGAGAAGATGGCTGCACTCACAATTTTTTATAATATTTGAGCAATCTACAGAGGTAGTTGTGGCCTTTACAGTAACAAATGCTAAAAACTAGAGGATATTGAAGGTGGGGGTGGGGCTTAGTGGGACAAAAAGAAAAGGTCTCTGAAAAGCAGGGCTAAATAATTGCCCTAAGAGGGCAGATCTTCCGAAGTGCAAAGCAAGGTGACGTGGAATCGGGTTGATCTTTGACCCAGCAGTCTGAAAGCGCGAAGTGCAGCTAGCAGTAATTGCTTCCTCACTGAGATGAGGCAGTGGGTTCTCGCTGCAAGCTGCTCTCCACAGGCTGAGGAGTAACTGAAACGTTACCCCGGGAGGCGCAGGGAGCGAGTCCTCAGTGTGAGGGCAGAGCTGTGGTACGCTCTCCAGCCCTCCTTCATCCTGGTCCTATTTAGGGAATCTGCGGGCAGCCGGTGTGCGGCGCAGCCTGCAGCTCGCCAGCTTCATTGTTAAGCCTCCGAGGGAAGGTCACATGCCCTCCTCGACAGAGAGGTTTACGGGCTCTCTCTAATTAGCAGCGCCCCCCACCAGACAGGCTGCTTGGCCCCCTTCCAGGAGTGGGGCTCGGCAGTGGCCCTGACGAAGGGGAGAACAAGGTTACGTACCCTGGGGCCGCACTCTTGGCACAAGTTGCGCCTTTGCGCTCAGGCACGTTTCCCTTTTGTTCCAGCCTGCATTTCAATTCTGGGGAGGGCGTGAGAGAGGAGGGCGATGCGGCTGTATCTTTAGGATTGTAGCAACCCATAGTTTGGCCTCGGATACACTTAACTATCCAAGGCCACGTAAAAAGAAAAAAAGGCATCGCAAAGCGTTGCTTGTGAATATAAGCGCTCAAGCACACGCCCACACACAAACTCAAAAAAGGAAGTTAAGTTTACAATCTATAAGATAACGGCAGTGGCGCGGCTGGACACCTAAGAAGCCCCGCGGTGGGACGCGAGGGGTCCGACCGTTCCGGGGTGTACTGAGCGCCGGATCCCGGCTCTACGCCCGCGGGGGCGCCGGCAGACGCGGCGGTGCAGACCCGACGCCCTCGTCCCGCCGCGCCGCCATCCCTGGCGTCCGAGGGGCTGGGCCGGAGCCCCCGCTCTCCCGCCGTGTCCCACTTCCCACGCGGGAATCGAGGACGAGGGCGGCCCGCGGCCCCGCGCCTTCCCCGTGCCCGAGCGGGCTGCGGCTGGGCCCGGGAGCCCGGGAACGTCCCG